CAGGTTATAAATTATTTGATAATATATAAGTTACAATACTATACAATTTTTTTAAAGTTAGAACCTAATACATAAAGCCTTTACCCTATGAAATACCACTACTTTATTACTATATGTACATATGTGTGTAATAAAAAAAATTTGATGATAGACTATCAAAATGATATTTGATTTGGTTAGCGAAGCCAGTATAATCATGCGATTAACGATGTATTTGAGTTCATTATAATAGTCTTGCCAAAAATATTTCGAAAGATTGAGCATTATAATTTTTTTGCTTATCAAACAATAAACAATGAATTCTCAACAAATTTCTAAGTGGTTAAAAAAATAGCCGAAAAATGAATACAGAATCGAAATTATTTAGCCACAGAAACTTGCCTCAGTTTAGTGTTTTGATCATTAGCCCAAAATTTTCGGTCTATTAGTATTATATGTACTTGAGATTTTGGGTTGAATTTATTGTATTTAAGATTTCTGTTTTGCGGTTTTTTAGAAATTTATAAAGTTGACCCGCGAATAATCTATATTATAAAACCAGTTAACCCACATGTTGACCCACAGGTCAACCCATGGGTCGACCCGCGGGTCAACCACCCAGGTCAACCCACGGGTCAACCCACGGGTCAACTACCCGGGTCACTACAACTCAACCCGGGTCACCCGACCCACCCGCGGGTGATCCGGGTAATACCCACCCGGGTCCAAACACTAATAGCAGCAATTATATTATGAAAATGTTTACACACTGCTGCCGAAATTTAACTGAACGTTTTTCAGACGTACTATGATACTCCAGATTGGGAATATAACCAAGCAGAATTTTTGCGTCAACCTTGTTGCGGCGATTCAACGGAATATTCCCAAGTGTCATAAACACAGGATGCCTCGATGTCTTGCCTAAATGGTCGCAGAGGGTGGCATCGGAATAGAGAATGATTGGCATAACATGCGCTCCAAATGGAAGATTTTGTTCTACGTTCCTCCACCAGTCAGAATCGTATATATCTGAATATTGACGTTCACCAGATACAGTCAAACCCCTCTATAGTCACACCTTCGGGATACAAAAAACCGTGATTATAAAGAGGTGTGACTAATATAGA